GTGTGTGTGTGTGTTGAGCCTCTCTGCTCTGACCCAGGGTGTGTGACCTGGTGCTGCGTACTGCTGTAAGGAGTGATGAATCCTATCTGACAGGCAGTGGAATCCAGGCTTCATACTGATGTTCCTATAAAGAAGCAACAAGGCTTATAAAGTAGATAAGACAACTAGGCAACCCTGTTCCTGGAATATCACATTTGGCTCTGGTTTTCATCATGGCAGATCTTAATGACTTAACCGCACCAATTAAGTGGATAAGAAGTCCAATCATCTATGGTTACCATCTTAGCCCCTTAATTAGATGCTGATTCAAAGGTGCACCACAGACCTGCAGGAGCTCAGTACTGCAGGACCATGTTTTTTTCTACAGCTGAATTAACACCTACTGGTTGTAGTGTTTCCTCAGAACCTTCAACTGCGTGATTAAGTCAGTTTCGGCATTTTCACGAAGAGGGTGTTGGAATACGTTCCCGACGTCTCTCAGATGGCCCCTGTAGGAAAGGATTTATCCCAACCAAACCCCCCACCAACCCCACTCCCCCCACCTAGCTGCAGTTTAATCTCGAGTCTTTCGCCCTCTTCCAGCAGCACCAGGTCTCCACCAGGGGTCAGGGCTGGCTGCGCATCTGGACCTCGATGGCCTCGCTGGGCTGGGCCGGGGGCTGGCTGCTCGTCTCGCAGCGGTAGTGGGGTTTGGGGAGTTCGGCCGTGACCTGGGGTAGTTCCTGTCTCTCCCATTCTCCCTGGAATACGGAAAAGCAGGGCTTTAATTCCAGGCACTGGGTGAAGCACGCTTACCTTTTGTGCAGAAACTCAACAGTAATGCAGGGGATAAGGACGGAGTACCAGCCAGCACATCTTTTGTTTCCAGCTGGAATTGGTGCGCCCTTCGTGAATGAACTATGACCCGAATCTGAGTCTTGTCACGTTCATAAGCCCCTCCTCTTAAAGACGCCCCAGCCCTTCCTTGTTTTTTACTCATCTCCCGCACCTGCTCCCTGTTCCAGCCCCCTTTTCAGTTCTCCTTAAAAGCCAGACGCTCACTCTGTTCCGGGCTTTGCATTGGTTCCTTCCAGGTCCCGGACTCGCCTGGTCCCATCAAGTTTTTAGTTCCTGTTCCCGTGCCGGTCCCGACCCGGTTCCTGTTTTTAATCCCGTTTGTCTCGGATGGACCGCCCGGCTTTGGACTTTTGCCTCGTCTCCGATTCCCCCCTTGGACTCGCTTCTGGACTGTTTGCCTCGGCCACACTTCCCCCGACACCAGCGCACCGCGGCCACGCCCCCTGTTTTCATTCCCGACTCCCGCATGCTTTTTCCCCCGTGTTTTCCTCACTCGTCCCTGGATTGTGTCGTCTGCATAGGGTCTGGAAAGAACGCCCGTTACAAGTCTTCATGAACCACTTGGGTATAATCAAAGCAAATAAGCATAGGAGAACATGGATAGAGGAGGCCATTCATGCTCATTTGGATTGATCGAAGCTCACATGCAGCTATTACCCAAAGGATCTCAGGGACACTGGTTTTGATGACCTACAACCTTTCTGCGTAAAGAAGTGCTTCCTGTTTTCGGTCTTGAATGTGCCCATAGATCCTGCTTTCACTCGAAATGCTGACGCAGTCCTGTGGCTAGACTTGATCAATACCTCGCAGTCCTAATTCTGGGGGGAGGTGCTGATGTGTCTGCAGATTTTCTAGGTCTCTTTAAAGCAGCTGCACCTGAATGTTAAATTGGTCCACTTAAGCCAGGAATGGGCTGATTCAGCTTGTTAAGAGCAGAGCTGGAATGAAAACCTTCAGTAACACCAGGCCAACCGGTATCAAGACAGATCACCCATACTCGAATTTGTAGCCTTGTGTTTTGTTTTTGTTCTTGAGTTTTTTTTCCCTCACTGTATATGCATGACATGTCTTGCGGGCCAGACTGGTATAAAATCTGTACAGCGGAGCATTGCATGTAAAAATTGTGCCGTATCATCCAGTACAGCTGCAGCCTATTAAATATGATATTATTACCCTTCCTTTTGTGGGCACAAGCTTGTACAATTACAAGGATATTGTAACCCACAGGGCAATTTGCTTGACAAGAATGAATGATATTCAAGTGCAATAGTAACATATTAAACATTCAGTAGATGTAATCTGTTTCTGTTTTTTTTTTTTAGTTTTTTTAGGTCTTTTTGCAGGCAGACCTAAATCATTTGAACTTATGAACTGGAACATGCCCAGAAGGAACACAGAAAATCTATTTTGAAAGTCAAGCAGGTTTTTTTTTTTACAGAGGACAGCCAAATTAAATTCCCATTAAATAAAATGAATTCAGAAGGAGAGCAGAACAAGGACACCTGTAATGAGGGTGATTCTCCAAATGTGGTTCTTTGTGAATGGTTGATCCAGATTACATTGTGATTTTATTGATTGTGTGTGTGTGTGCAATTCTCCAAGGAAACATTTAGAAATCCAAATTGGAGAAAAGTTTGAAAATAAGAGGAAGTATGTGATGGAGTGTCTTTGGTACAGTGAGACTGAATCCGAGGGGTACTATGAAAGGGTTTGCGGAGAATCAGCTGAATGAGTTTTGGAAGGATTTCCGAAGAGATTAGCCAGTGACATCTAGAGCCGGGAGAAAGTGTGAAAGCCACATTTTAAAAATGGCCGAGCAGCAATCTACCCAGCCCACTGCTGCAGCACTCTTAGAAGCAGGGGAGCATGCTGGGGAAGAATCAGTTCTTCAAATAAAGGGGGTGCACCTCCTGCACAAGGAGATACCAGGCGATCCCACCCCCCCCCTTTTAACATAAGTATCTCTGTGGCCGTTGATGGAGTCTGCTAGCAGAATCTGTACAGTATGTCACTCTGTACCCATACAGTGGTAGGAGCTGTGAACTCCTGCTGAATTCACATGCTAAACTCTAACCTTCACGCTTGCTTTAGCACAGACGCTTCTCCCTCCCTGTACTGAACTCCCATCTTCTGTTCTGAACGCCTGATGGGGACGGAATGTTCATACTAAACTCCTGATGAGAAAGGAATGTTTTAAGCGCTTTCTGAGTCCTAGAGTTTCTTCCGAAAGCTACCTCAAAGACAGGAGGGGGGAGAGTGTAGAGAAAAGTATGTATAAGCTGTGTAGAGCCATATCCCCTTTGAGCTACTATGGTCCTTGTATGCATCCTTGTATGCAATAAAGCTTGGCTTGACGAACGGACACTTCAGGCTCGAATCTCTTGGTTTCTTCACCGTTTAGAGTTTACACAACCTGAAAGGATAACATTTTTCGAGGCAGAACCCAGGAGGGAAGGGATCCTTCATGAGAGCAGAACTAAAGACCGTTCAATGCTTTTGCAATCAGCTCTCATGCTCAGCCCCGGCAACATGCCCACGATTGTGGTGCACAGCTGGGGGGAGAACTAAATAGGGAGTACTCACCGGGAACATGACAGCAGATGACTGGTTGCAGTGCATGGAGATGGGCGCTGTGTTGTACAAGGACTTCAGGACGTCTTTGCTGAACTGGTCCCAGCGCAGGGTGGCAAACTGATCAGTCACTGTGGCCTGGTTACAGTTGCATGTCTCCTTGCCCTGGAATCTGGCACAGCAGGACACAGTGAGGGGGGCAGCACGACCACCTGACCAGGTAACGTTTTGAGACAGGCTGGGGCGTTTAACATTCAAGTGCAAGATATTCACATGTCACAGCTGAAAATGCTGCCTAAATATCTTTTACAGCAGGGTTCAACTGCTCACTTATTTCTCAGTAAGGAGGGTTTTTTGACTCATATTTGTTCCTCACTGAAGATCAGATGCCTTTTCCGAGCAGAATACCTTTCATGGAGTATTCTCTTCACAGAGGGCATTGCTTTCAAGTATAAATTCATCTCCAGATTGCAGGCCCACATTAAGCCACAACTCGGAGAGAGAAAAGAGATGATAATGCGCACCTGACGTGTTCAAACATCTAAATGGATAAATGCATTTGCAGACAAAAGTGTCCTAAATTAGTGAACTCGCCGGGATGCCTTCACTAAAATTTGTCGGGATGTTCAGTACACATCCAAGAGGCAATGCTGACAGATGTGTATATCTGAATAAAACATGTATTGCACTTACTGTAGAGTCGCACTAAATATTGCAATCATTAGTGACTTACTGGCTTCTGCTGGGTGGTAGTCCTACCTTTTCTGAAAGGTCTTTTCTGAAGGCATCTCACTGTAGTTTTATTGCATGTCTAATTAAATATTGCTACCCATCTTCAAACGTCCGCACTGGGTTGAACCAAGTCTACAGTACAGTAGCCACCCAGGTGGTTTGCATTAGGTCAGCTGGCAGCTGCTGCACATACCTGTTAATAAAGCTAAAATACTTCTGCAGGTAATCCTCATCCACGTGGCTCTTGCAGAGCTCCAGGTCCGTACGCGGATAATAGTGAATGTAATTCACACACATCTCCTCCTCGATCCCGAAGCCTCCCTGCGGCAACAGAAGAAATGTTCTAAAATACATATTTTCCGCTTCGACATTTCTCTCGATTGTGCAACGTGCACCATAGTCTACGAGAGGGAGGGGAGAACCATCGAAACAGCTTGTAAGGAAAGCAGGATCAAGACTTCACAGCCAAGATGCCCCTGCCTGCCACCTGTAATCCACACCTTTTGCAGACGTTTGCTACAGACCCTTTCTTCATTTTATTTTTTAATGAAGGGTTTTTTTTCCGATCCTTGTCCTGGAAGACGGAGGGGGTCTGCAGGATTTCATTCCAGCTCGGCACTTCACCTACATCGGCCTTTGATGGGTTCATGTGGACCAAGCTCACAACCACTCTTTCTCTATGGGCCGGTACTTTAGGAGAAAATTCAAGAAAACCTGCTGACGCACCCACAAGAACTTGGCCACTCCTGAATGAGGATGACAGCCAGTAGACTCTGGAAAACATTTATGTTTCATATCAGAAAAACATGGCTGTATCAAGATAATACTGCTAAAATTTTAGAGAAGACTTGAAACTCTCCAACTTTTTAGCAATAGAAAACTAAAGCAAAAGCAGATGTTGATTCTAAAGGAGAATATGGTGGCTCTGTGGCTAAGGATCTGTGCCTGTGGCTGGAAGGTTGCCGGTTCATATCCTGTGGCCGGCAGAGGAATCCTATTCTGTTGGGACCCTGAGCAAGGCCCTTAACCCCAACTGCTCCAGGGGTGCCGTATAAATGGCCGACCCTGCGCTCTGACCCCCAGCTTCTCTCCCTGTCTGTGTGTCTCATGGAGAGCAAGCTGGGGTCTGCGAAAAGACAGATTCCTAATACAAGAAATTGTATATGGCCACTAAAGTGATCCTATCTTAACTCATTCAATCCACATCATTTCAGTAAATTGGTGCAACCAGTGCCTCTGTTGCATTGATTATGCCCATTATCTGATCCGATTGTAGCTCCAATTCTGTTCCTGAAGGGCCGGTGTGTCTATGGGGTTTCAGTCCAGCTGAGCTTTTAACAATCTCGAGCAGCTCGTGTCTTAACTGGACCAAATGAACAGGCTCTTTCAGCTCTTCAGGTGACCCAGCCTTACAGAGACAAACGTGCAGACCCCAGGCCTCAAGAAGCAGAATTTGTTATAGAGTAATGACTTCTGCTCATTCTGGAGAAGCCTAGCCCAGCCCATCAACTGAGATATGTAACCATTAAATCAGCAGTTTCTAAGGTTTTGGAATGCTGTGTGATCATTTAGGCACATAAGATGGTGAATTAAGTCAATTGGTGATCATTTTGACCAGCAGTCAGGTCATCTTACAGCTAAAATAAAATGCTGGATTTCACTGAATTCACTGAATTGCTTCCCACATCTTTGACAAACAAAACATTAAATCGAGGTACAGAACCCCTACTGAATTGCAGTATGCATTGTCCTGCCCCTGGAATGAGGTATTTCCTGGTAACCCTTCAATCATCATTTTCTTAAATCAGAAAATCTCCAATCCTGGTCCTGGAGAGCCCCCAACCCAGCTATTCTTAAGGGTCTTCCTAAATCCCCACTTCTGAAATGATTGGAAACACTTGTCTTAGCAATTGATCTATTAAGGACGTAGTTTCAATAAAGGGATCACTGGTCCTAGAGAGTTAAGGGACACTCTGCTTTTTGTTCCAAATAGTCTCTGAATGACTTCATTGAACACCAGTTGTTTAACAATCTGCAGTTGTTTGCTGCAGGTGAATATTAACACATGATTTAAAGGCTACCTATAAGGACTACTGGACTGTGGTTCTCTAGGAGTAGTGTTCGAGACATGTGAGCTTGAGGTTTGTATTCCCAGTCTCTTGAAACAAGTAATTACATTCATGTATAAGTGCAGAGAAGATCTCAGTTTCATTCGGTGAGTGTATGTCTCTGCGTAATTAAATCTCTGAGGCCTACCTCGTGTGTTTAAGTTGAATGATAATAGTAATGTTTTTTTTCTATCTGACATTTTAAGCTTTTCTTTCCACCTTTACACCAGGAAAGGTGGGAGCAACATTATTTCATACTGAAGGAATGTTGTTTATGCATTTAAACATTCACTGAATTAATTCTCATCACATTCTATGACATTTTAGATCCTTTGGCTGTAAATCAATGTTACCTTGTTGTTTTATTTTCTTAAATTGTGAAATTATTTTTTTTCCCAATTTCTATAGACTTGACCTCGGTCTGTGGTGAGTATTGCACTTGAGTGTGGATGTTTTATGTAAGTGCACATCTATTGATGGAACTTTTTGTTACTCAGATTTCTGGTGTCGTCATAATATTATAGTAATGCCGTACACGTTTACTTCTTGAAAGAAAAAAAATCCTTTGGGGAATACATGCATTGTCTACAGGACTATAAGATATTATCTGCTTTGCATCTGAGCTCAACACAAACTCATCCTGACTTCATGATCCAGTCATGTTGTCAATGGAATGTCGTTGGTCTAACGTTTGGTGGTAGTGCTGTACGGCCAATAATTATAGCTGTTCCCCCTTCACCCCTGAGGATCTAATGATTATCACCTTCCCAAAACTGAATTGGTCCCCACTTCTCAAACTGGCTTCCCTTTCAACACCAAGACGTGACAGCTGGAGGGTTAAAGCTTTGTGAAACAGCAGCTGTCTGTCAAAAGGCCTGGCGAGGAGATGTTTCATTGCAGTGTGTATCCCAGACACCTTGCCTGAAGACACATGAACACACCGTGTTGGAGAAGTGAAGGTCCTCTTAATTAATAATCACTACTATTAATTAATAATTTAATTAATGGTAGTAATTATTAATCAATAATAATCATTAATTAATAATTAACTATTAATTATTAATTAATAATTAGTACTAATTATTTTCATATCTTATGACTCTGAGATACAATACAAATTCAGAATGTAATTATTTCCATATCTTGTTCCTGCCAAAAAATAACAGTTGGGTTGGGGTTTTCTTCCTGGATGTAGGACAGCACTGGGATGGGGTTGTTTTCGCTTCTGACGTTTCACTGGGATTAACGGCAAGAACAATAGTAGCATTACTAGTAACTTGGGCCGCTTCCAATTTAGAATGTAATTAACACCTCAAGAGGCCTGGCGTTTTTAGAACAGTTTGTAGAAATCTCCAGGCCACGGACAACTAGGTCTGCCTAACACTTAGTAAAATGAGTCTGAGCGAGAGTAGATCAAACAGTCCCTGAAATTAGCCTTACAGTGAATTACTGTAGTACAATGCTCTGGTTTCATAAGGCAGTGAAAATGTCAGATTGATATTTTTTTTTACCATTATTGCACTTTTTTTTTAAGTGGAGTTCTTTGAATTTACAGTATCACAATCTAACAAGTTCAGCCCTCAAGGCTCCTGCGACCATGAAGCTGTACATCATGTGCTTAATTTCACCAACCATTTTTGAACCCGGCCTGCACCTGCTGTGTCGGGCCGCACAGCGCTACACTAAACTAATGAGTCCGGAACTCGAAAGTTCTGTTTCTTGTTCCATTCTACTGGGATTGAAAAGACCGAGTGGAGGGTCAGATTCACTTAGCATGACCATCACCAGTGCAGACAATTACAGAGCGTGTTGAAAACTCAGGACGGGCTGATATCAGCCAGCTACCAACACTCAAGTCTTTTTATTCCTGTACCATTTCGCAATCCATTTCTGCAATTATACATGCAGCAGCACATGCTTTCCTTGAACCAGCGTATTACAACAACAGTTAAGTGTTCCTGCTGTTCTTTTCAAAGGAATGTCTTCATTAGCCCTCTTTCTCACCATAAATTCATCTGGCCCTTTTGTATTATAAATTTGGGTTTGCCGATTTTATTCCTTGTTGTGTAGCTACTGAGTGAAGATTTGATCATTAAGAATTGGCTGTCCAGCAGGAATGCCTAGGGTGTGGCCTGTAGGGTCTATATAGGCCCTGTGGCAGGGCTGGCCGTCCTTTCCCAAGCTCTGCAGTGCATGATTGGATAGGAAGAGAGCAAGTACGTATTTTAAAAGCAGGGCTGCGTTTCAATGCCCTTCGACTGAACTCACCACTGTAGCCCTGTCCCTGTCCGCTGTGTTGTAAACGCATTTAGTCAAAAGGACATCGCCCTGTGGAAATACAAACAGGAGACAAAGGTATTGAACTGAAAAGATCCCATTTCAGGTGGCTGATTCCTCCTTTCCTGTGAGTAGTTACAGTCTGTCATAAGGGGTTTTCTGTCTATATATTTCTAATGCTATAAGCTAAATCCTTTGCTGAGGATTGAAGAGTGACTAGATCTGTAGCATTAAAATTGTTTCAAGAACTTGAATTGTCAGCCATTAACTTTCGTTTACTAGCCTACTAGTTAACGAGATGAACTATAAAGAAAACGAACAGTCAAAGTTTTGTTGATCACAAGATTAAGAGGAAGCAGATTATGAACAGCTGGTGTACCTACAGTATCACATGTATGGACTCTCAGGTAGAGTTATGGCTACAGTTCAAGTCAAGTGGCGATGGTATTAAGCATTTCCCTGACATTTGAGCTATAGTGGGATACTTACAGGCAACACTTTCACCATCTTTTTTAGCGTCCGGATGATCTGCAATAATGAAAAGATTCGTTACGTTTCATGACCGGTGTCCCCGAATGCAATGACTAGAAATGGCTGTTGAATATTTGCATATTTAGGTCCTTTTTCTAACAAGCAAACAAATCTATATGAATCAACTGTCAGCTCTTTCAAGAATCAATGAATCAACGGCTCCCCACACACCGGCTCTCAGTGGGGAGGAGAGCAGAGTGATGGAGCCAGTTCAGAGATGGGGATTATTAGGAGGCCATGATTGGTAAGGGCCGCTGGGAAATTTGGCCAGGATGCTGGGGTAACACCCCTACTCTTCTCGAGAAACATCCTGGGATTTTTAATGACCATACAGAGTCAGGACCTTGGTTTCACGTCTCACCCGAAAGACGGCATGTTTTTACAGTATAGTGTCCCTATCGATGTACTGGGGCGTTAGACTGCAGGGTGAGCGCCCCCTGCTGGTCCCACTAACACCTCTTCCAGCAGCAACCTCAGCTTTCCCAGGAGGTCATCCCATCCAGGTACTGGCCAGGCTCACACCTGCTGAGCTCCAGTGGGGCTGCCAGCGGTGAGTTCCAGGGTGAGATGTCTGCTGGCTAATACTGATTCAGTCATTATGAAGCACTGCAGTGGGATTGTGGGGGATACCAGCGTGCAGCTCATCGGCCCCTCCCATTGCCCCGGCCCACCTGGTAATGGGTGCTGAAATGGTTGTCCTCCTGCAGGATCTCCACCTCCCTCCCCTGTCGCACCAGCGCCGTCCGCACGCTGCGCCCCGTCAGGTGTGTGTGCAGCTGGGAGGCGAAGACCTTGATCCCTTCTGGGGAGAGGGCCTGCGAAGTTCGAGGGGAAACCGTGACCGCCGGTAATCGCGCGGATTTCGAAACGTGGAGGGAGCAGAGCAGAGCCCAGGGACCGCTCCCAGCTGCTGCGAGTACTTTCATATCCAGATTCTCTCTTATTAATCGGTTTGAAAACCGCCTACTTCTAGAACTAGGCATTTTACCTTCATACATCATTTATTTTCTAGGCCTTCGCTCTACAATCCGATCTCTAGCGCAAAACGGGACCCCCAGAACTTGGTTTCTTGGCTGTCGGCACGTTCCACGTTTCCGAAATGAAGAGCGCGACCCAAATTTCAAATCCCGACCCAAGCCTTCTCCTTCGGGAAAGGCCTACTACTTCATTGATGTCTGTGCCTGCCCCTTTTTGCCTCTTCTACCACACTCCAAACCCCTGTTTTGTTTTTTATTGCGCTCTTCTCTCTCGTCATCGTTTTTCCTCCCGTAAAGCTCTTTGAGAAGCTACCGTCTAGGACGCTATATAAAATCAAGTGCGTCGTTATTATGACCTCACGAGGAATGACACCGCCCCAAAATCGAAGCGTAACTAACTATTGTGGAGCGAATATTTGGCTTAACCTGCTCGGCTGAGGGCCGACCTCCCGGCCGTAGGACGAGGAGGCCAGGACCCCCCCTGCAGGGTAACCAAGGGGCCACTGCAGAGGTGGAGTTGGGGTAGGATGCAGAAGTCGCACTTGGTATTTATAGTGTTTGGTGGAGGAAGGACAAAGGCAGTGATCGCTAATCACTGACGGCTGGGAATGATTGAGAAAGCTTGTCGTCATCCCTCCCACACTTTAGTTAAATAAACTCCACAATGGGGATTGGCGCTGACGTTTGAAGGACAA